GCAAAGTTATCCACGAAATGTTGTGCGTATGATAAGGGTTGCCCGTGGCGCGTTAGGGCCATGAAACCAGTGTTTGGTGAAAACCAGCATTAGGGCCATGAAATGTTAATACGTAGTACAGTCATTTATTTGTAATTAAATAATAATAAAACATCGGACAAAAATAATATCATACTTACATAATACTGAACCCTAGGTCACTAATAACTTCATAAATATGTACTAATCAGCACACCTAACTGACTACAAAATTATGAATACACTCCCGCATTAATAATATCATACATACAAAATTTACGAAGTCGCTATCACTATTTTCTAAATCACTAATTAATGCGCTAAACCCTAATGCATAATTAAATATTAATAATAATAACTACGTAACAAAAAAAGGAAGTATCATTACAACATTCATAGCATGACACAAAATTTCTAAGTGACTATCCTGATGTTCTAAGTCTCTAATATACGATCAATCCTAACATGTATTACTAACTAGCACTGTAATTTAAACGTATACATAGGAGGTATTATGGCCTTACCTAAGTTGGCAGAGCTTCACTACGAACCGTGGTTAGAGAGAGGTTAGAGAGAGGTAGAGAGAGGTGAGAGACAGTGACCATTTTGCCACGCTTCTCCAAATTATTTACCAGACTGCCACGCGAACAGTAAAAATTCCCGAAATTCTACGCGGCATAATTCGCTACACTGTGTAGCGAATTATGTTTGCAAATAATTCGCTACATAGTGTAGCGAAATATGCAATGTCAGGCAGCACAGTCAGCAAAAATGACACGTGTCAAGCTGGCAGCATAACAGACATAATTCGCTACACACCCCAGCGAATTACTGTCAGCTTGACACGTGTCATTTTTGCTGACTGTGCAGCCTGACACTGCATATTTCACTACACTGTGTAGCGAATTATTTGCAAACATAATTCGCTGCACTGTGTAGCGAATTATGCCGCGTGGCATTTCAGGAATTTTTACTATTCGCGTGTCAGTCTGGTAAATAATTTGGTGAAGCGTGACAAAATGGTCACTCTCCCGAGAGGTAAATGAATGAGGAGTGAAATGGTGAAAGGAGAGAATATATAGATGCACCATGAGACGTCCTTTTTGGGCGTCACATGTGACGCCTCCTTGGGGCGTCTTCCCTTCATGAGAGACGCCTCACTGAGGCGTCACAGTGTGCAATATATCTGTAATTATTTCTCAAACAGTAATAAATACGTAATTATTTAATTAAAATACAATAATTAAATTTTTTTGCCTGGTTTTATGGCGTAACTCTTTGCTCTCGAAACGTCACTTTTCACTAGAAACAAATAATTATGATTCAAATCAATCCAGAAATGATTACTCGTAACGTTTTGCACAGTTGGTTTGGGGTAGATGAGGTTCATTTAGTGCTGGTTATCATGCAGTAGCTCTCAGTCCAAGTATTTCATTATCACCTAGTTACTAGGTAAGTTTTGTTCGTGGGCTACAACGGAGAAACTCTTCTTTCATGTTTAAAAAATATATGATATAGTTAGGTGGGATAATTATAATCATATAGAAATAAATTAAGGATTATGATTTAGTAACTACTCATTTTAATATTTGTTCTCTCTTCTCTTTTATTATTATTAATCTACCTTTATATGATTATAATTATCCTAACACGAGAGAATCCACTCCGCTGGTCAACATATGTTTGCCCAAAAAAAAGAAAAAGAAGAAGAAAAGAAACTGGTATCATCTGTGGGGATCCGATACACTCCATAAACTAAAATAAATAAATTCAAAGTACTTATTTACATTTTTTAGATATACATATGGCGGTCGTCTCTTAGTACTAAACGATCACTTGTGCTCGTACGTTGGAACTTGGTATAATATTAGTAAATGAAAACTTATATAAATAATTTAAAATTAAAATATTTTTAATAATTCACATTAAAAGCATATATAAATTTATATTTTAATTAACAAAAATGTTAATGTAACAAAATTATATTGTACAACTTCTTTATAATTATCAAAGTTACCATTTAAATCAGAACACAATATCACAATTATGAAAAAATGGTATTAAATATTCATTAATTAAAGAGTATCCAAGCAATGTACCAAAAAAAAAAAAGTATCCAAGCAAATTCACCAACAATTATTTCCTTCATCAAAATTTCAAATTTGAGTCGAGAAAATGAAGAAAATGATATTTTGGAAGCCATCCCAATACTAAACCTGTAGGTTTGAAATTTTTTTGTTTTAAAAAATCTAAGCATCAAATCAGAAAATTAGTTATAAAAAATGCATAGCCGTTAGAATGAGCCAAATCCGATACTATTTCTTGACATTTTTGCCTCAGGCGAATTTCTATCTACAGTTATGTTATGAATTAAAGAAGTGGAAGTTTGCATGATCCAATTTCCACTTTCCATTGGGACAAAACATTCCTATTTGGGAATATTTTCCATCTCTTTCCAAATAACCACACTTTTTATGAGTATATTTATATATTACAAGAGTATTTATTTCTTTACTAAAAATATGAGACCTAAGTAATAATAATCATAAAAAATAAGTAAAACAATAAAAGTCAATTACATTAATTTTTAAATTTAATTAAAATATATTGAATTTTCGATACTACGAAAGTGTTGAAGATATTTTCACTTTTCACCGCCATTAGAAGATTCCTCCCCCTCCTCCCGTTTTGGCACATGCTTACATTACATGCAGAGTCATGTATCTCCAGTGGCGGACTCAGAAAACAAAATTTGTGTTCGCACATTTAGTTGTGGGAGTTCGAGGGCAGCATCTCTGAATTTTTTTTGTAAAGACAGTTTAGATTAACGCTTTATGTATAAGGTTATAAACTCGCTCATAATCTAGTTGCTTCCATAACAAGCTGCAAGCAATAGTTTGACCAATCGTTTCTCCCCTTAAATCTTACGAATCCTCCAAAACAAATATGAGAATATACTCCAGGTCATTCATATATCATCATTCTATTGTATAATGGTGAATAAAAAAGTCAAGACTACCTGTACAGAAGGCAAGCGAAATCACAGTGAAGGCCTCGTCTCTAGATATTAACTTATTTGGAATGTCAGACCTGCAATCAATCCTCTCTTTTTATAAAATTGAAAAAAGAAACAAAGGATGAAGAGAGCATGGGAATTGGTACGTGACCGGGGAGGAAAAATAAGTTTTCTCTCTAATCAATTTGTGTTACTACGTTGTTTTAAATTTAGTGACCTGGTTCCTATTAAATTCAAAATGGATATATTTTAGTCCTTTTGAGTAACTAATGTGGGTCTTTTTTGAATTTGTGAGTGACCACGATTTGAACTAAATTGATCCACTTTGAATTTCATAAGAACCTCGAGACTAATTTTTTTATAAGGGACTAAAGTGAGAATTGTATTTTTTGTTATAGACTTAAAATGATCCTAATATAAATATTGAATCAAGAGACAAATAAAAATCTACAAAAAAAAACTAAAATCAAATATTCATGTCCGCAAGTGCGGACATGCGCCCCTTGCTGGGTCCGCCGATGTGTATGTCAACTCATATTTTGTAACATATTACACAACCGTCTCTATATAAATCACGTTATTGCTTAATTGAAAGGAATTTGGCCATTTACACATGGGTTTATAAAGTTATCTCCCATAATTTCAAAATTAAGTAATTTTGGGATTAGAATAAGGAAAATATTTTTTTTTATGTTGTAGGAAAGTAGTTACCTCATGTTGGATCTCGGACCTATGAATGGGGATACTCCCAAAACTCACAAAGAAAAAAGGAAGTGAGTTAGACAAAATGAGAAGAAATTTGGACGAAAAAAGAAGTAACTTGGACAAAAAGAAACAAAGTGACTTAGACAAATCTTTTTTGTCGATAACCTCAGAACAATCATTCAAATATTGATTAATACGTAATCAATCGAACATTACTTGAAAATTGCTATTCTGCTCAGAAATGAAATGTTCCAAATGTTCCTGGAGATTCTTGCTCCCATTGGACCATTTGTGAGACCCACAAGTAAGAGAAGAGAGAAATAAAGTGATAGAACCCAACCTTTTTGTGTGCTTAAAAAATTATTTATCTCATGTAAAATAAGATAAATATAACCCTTAAAATAATTAATGAAGAATATTTTAATAAATTTATATAATAAAAAAACAAATAAAATTAACATCGTTAATTTCCTCAACCCTCAAAATAGTTTTATTGAAAATAACTTTATTATAACCGCAAAAACAAATTTCCCTTTGCACATTGCACTTTTCATATACTCTCCAAAAACTTACACTCTGCATATGACCACACATCACACCATGAATTCACCAGTCACATGATGGAAATCAGCATCTCCCCCACAAAACCGACCGCCATAGAGTTCAAGTTCTTCACATATTATATTTCTAACTCAGCAAACATAATAATATATAATTCCTCCTACCGGACTGAACATCTCTGCACAATTAGGTTGAGCCAATATACACTAATCTAAATTTCCAACTTAAATTTTTTTAAAACAGATAAAAAAAAGAACATTTTATGTTTCATGTGATGTTTGTCATTTTAAATGACATAAGTTATGTCATTTTAGGAGAAAGATAGACACAGAAAAACAGAAATCATGAGAGAAAGAAAATGGATGGTTTTTTTAATTTAAAATTCAAATTTTTTGTGTCTGTATCTCTCTTAAAATAACATAACTTTTTGACATTTAAAATAACAAACATTTTTCCCTTCATTTAATTTAATGCATATTCATATACAAGGACACCTCGACAACTGTTCAACTCCCAAAAATATACGTGTTAAGTAATGAGTTCACCTCTTCAACAAAATTCATCTACCATTTTCTTTCTTCTATTTTTTTAAAAAAAAAAAAGACATTTCAGAGATGTAGGTCCTCCTCTCCCCGGTCCCCTTATCCCTTCTCGCAGCTACCATCCAACTATTTTCCTATAAATGGAACTAAAACAGCCACATTCCAACCATACCTTCATACAACTCTCTCTCTCTCTCTCTCTCTCTTTTTCAAATTTGCCTTGCAAATGGGTTCACTAGGAAATTCGGAAACTACCACTCTGAGCTCGAGGATTTCAACAGTGGTTCCTGCAACTCCTCGAGGCGAAGAAAAAGGAGAGTATCAACTCAACTACATGGACTTGCTCATGAAGCTCCATTATATCCGACCCGTTTATTTCTTCAATTCAGAAGCTGTGCAAGGGCTCTCAATCTTCGATTTGAAGAAACCCATGTTCCCACTGCTCGACCCGTACTCCCACGTATCGGGTCGGATAAGGAGATCCGAATCCGGAAGGCCGTTTATCAAGTGCAACGACGCTGGGGTGCGCATCGCCGAGTCTCACTGTGACAAAACCCTCCGAGAATGGTTCGATGAAAACGGAGACTCCGTTGACGGGCTTGTCCATGATCACGTGCTTGGTCCTGATCTTAGCTTCTCTCCTCTGGTTTTCATCAAGGTACGTACATGATAAACATTGATCATACCTACCTTAATCTTAAGAGTTATGCTATTCTGTTAGACGTACCTTTCTTTGATGGGAACTTTTTTTTTAATAACAAGAAATAATATAATATAAAATCATTATATTTTTAAATTATCAAAAAATAATATATTTCTATATTTATATATTTTACAAATAAATTTTCTTTAAATTAAACAAGTTTTCACGCATCATCATGTAGTATATATTTTCAAAATTTCCTTTTTTTTTTTATCTTTTTCTTTCTATTATCCACTCTTAGGAGTGTAACTCGGATGACCGTCTACAAAAGTCTACGGTCTAGTCTATATCAGGTCAGATTGAACCAATTACATATAATCAAATAGAATAGGCCTAGACTTTTAAAATATATGTTTAAAAGTAGGTGGTAGGTTTTTTTTACATGCCGGCTTATATCATATTATTTATTTTAAATAACACAAATAAAATTATTATTTTAATAATAAATAATATTATTTTTATTATTTTCTAATTATTGAATACTTAATTGACTTAAACAGACTAAAATGCCTAGGTCTAGCTTTTTATTTTTTTAAATATAGGTCAGACTAAACTTATAATTTAGGCCTACCCAGATCTAACATGTCATGTCAAACCTAAAGTATTTTACACAAACTTAGTCTATTTAAGTGACTGTTTGGATCCTCTTATTTTTAAGCTAAAAACTACTTATAAGCATAAGTTAGGTCAAACATGTTTTGGGAAAATGTATTTTTTTTAAGTTTAAAAGCTCCCATAAAAGCTGAAAGTTAAAAGCTCATAGGAGGAGTTTTTTTTTAAGCTCTTATCTACTTTTGTTGAATTGTGTGCTTTTTTTTAATGAAGAGTTACAAAAATAGAGAGAGATAATTTTATTGAAATATGTGCTTTTAAGCTAAAATTTTTATGTAATTACCAAACTTTAGTTTTTTTAACCTCTTATTTTTAGCTTTAGCTTATAAATAGTTTCTCTCTTAAAAAAGAGAGGATTCAAATAGGCTCTAAATCAGTCTAACCTAACTTATTGACACCCCTATCCAATCTCCCTGTATTCAGTTTGGATTGTACATAAAAATTATGTGCATATAAATAATTACATATATATATATATATTAACATGATAGATTTTTTTTATAACGTTAAATATATCTGTAATTTATGATAATTTTTTAAAAATTTTCAAATTGCCGTAATTAATGGTTATTTAAAAATAAAACTCTGGTTTCTTGAAATGTTCTGTTGATTTTAAGTTTAGTAGTCTCAAGGAGATTTAAATTTGTGGTGATGAGTATTGCAAACTATACTCACTATTATTAGTTAATTTCAAATGGTTTTTTACTCCAATTCCATTGCAGTTTATATATGTTTTTCTATATCTTTTTAACAATTAAATTACTTGTTATAGAAGAAAAACAAAACCAAATCGATATCCCTTTGCATATGCGTATAGTCATGTGCTGTTATGAGAAATTGAGACTTTACATTGGCATTTGAATTGTGTTATTTATTAGGGCTTATATACTCTCATCTGACATAAGAGTAAATATCGTATCCTATGTCATAAACACATAGTAATTTTCAAAATATAAAACAAAAAATTATACAAGATAGGTAGGCAGTGGCGGACCCAGAAAATTTTATTTATATCCGCATATTTAGTGGCGGGGGTTCGGGGGCAACACTCTCGAAATTTTTTTTGTAAAGAAAGTTTAAATCAACGCTTGAACCCGCTCATAATCTAGTTGCTTCCATAACAAGCTGCAGGCAATAGTTTGACCAATTATTTTTCCTCTAAATCTTACCAATCCTCCAAAACAAATATGAGAATATACTATGGTACATCCATACATCATCATTCTATTTTATAGTGATGAATAAAAAAGTCAACACTACCTCTACAGAAGTCAAGCAAAATCACAGTGAAGACCTCGTCTCTAGATATTAACTTATTTGAGAATGTCCTCTCTTTTTATAAAAATGAAACATGAAACAAAGGATGAAGAGAGCATGGGGAATGGGTACATGACAAGGGAGGAAGAATAAGTTTTCTCTCTAATCAATTTGCGTTGCTACGTTGTTTTAATCATTTCCGTACGTTGTTACGTTGCTAACTAATATAAGAATAAATATCTTTTTTGATCCCTAACAACAAATTCGGTTCACACTTTAGTCTATTATAAAAAAAATTAGTCACCTGGTCCCTATGAAATTCAAAGTGGATCTATTTTGGTCTTTTTGAGGAATTAATGTAGGTCTTTTTTGAATTTGTGAGTCACCATGATTTTAACTAAATTGATCCACTTTAAATTTTTTAGGGACCTCGAGATTAATTTATTTTTGTAAGGGACTAAAACAGGGACCATATTTTTTTGTTAGGGACTTAAAAAGATATCTGCTCCTAATATATATATATTGAACCAAGAGATAAATAAGGATATGCAACCAAAAAAAAGCAAAAAAAAAAAAACTGATATATAATATTTTATGTCTGCACTTGCGGATATTTGCGCGCAAGTGGGTCCGCCATTAGAGAAAAATTAATCTCATTATATAACAATGAGAATAGTTTCAGAGAAAAGGAGTTAGTTATTTTAAATTGCAGAACTCTCTTATTATATCTATGATAGCAAAAAATATATTAAAAACTGTATTAATTTCAAATCTTATGTTGTTATGATGTTACATGATTCTAATCCGAAATATAGCATTTAAGATCCCGAAATGTATGGTAACTAAGGTATCAAACATCTCAAGGCCTGATGGTTGAGATGTATGTTATAAAGTGCCAAAGTGGGGCATGTCATAATGATAAATTCTCATAGAAATCAGTATATATAATGATCAATCGCATCACCGCTAGTGCTGAACAAAATTTAATGCATGCTGAGCTGAGAACCTGACATTGGAAAGGTGTTACAATTATCATACTTGCATAAAATTACTAATATAAATGTATTTTCTTACATTTCTTAAATTATACCATTTTATTTTTATTTTTTTTACATTTATGCATTCCAATTTAATCATTTTACGTGCGTAAAATTATATATTTAATATTAATATACATATCATGGATTAAAAACTCCTAACTCATATACTCACCTTTTGGCAGTAATTAATATACGTTTCAGTGCTAAGCTTAAATTAATCTTGACTTCAGTCAGCTTAAGCTTCAAATTATTTATGACGCCGCCGGTAGAGATATATTCCATAATATTTACAGTTATATTTATAATTATTTTATTAAAAAAATTGTTGGTTAAAAAAGTCAAATTTAAGCATTTTAAATTCAATTTGAGCAAATTCCCAACGACCCTGCATACCTAAATGGAAGGTGGCAGGGACCCAAACTTTTAGGACGTCGGTAAGGAATAAGGTGGGGTGATAAATATCGGTTAGAAGTGTTAAATTCAGTGTTATCTGTGCTTATATTATACTATACCTTGTACTGGTGGTGACAAAGATTAAGAATGCCCATGCAACAATAAATGCGCACAGTATACGGGTTTAACGTATATGAAAATAAAATTATCTCATATATATATATATATATATAAAAATAAGTGTTTGAGATTTATTTATTTTTTTATGATTTTTTATGGGCTTCGTATACTTCTACCTATCTGTAATAGATAATTCATAATTTCATCTCTTACCACGTAGAAACATATCTACTTAATTATACTAGTGGTTGAAAAATATAAATTAAATACATTATGAAAGGAACTTTTATTTGCACCAACTTATTTTAAATTGAAAGCATTTAAAATTCTCTTAATTAGTAGAAGCTCTATGCAGAGTTCTAATGAATAATATTCTTTGGTTAATTACTGCTGTTGGGGTAAAAGCAACTGAATTTATGAACTGTTATTATGTTTTCCTTTCAGTTCACTTGGTTCAAATGTGGAGGACTATCCGTGGGATTGAGCTGGGCTCATGTAGTTGGAGATGCATTTTCAGCTTTTAACTTCATCACCAAGTGGAGTCAGACACTCGCTGGTCACGCGCCACCGAAATCTCTTCACAAGCCAAACCTCTGTGAACCTCAATTTCCACCGAATTCCGTTTCTGTTAATCCCGTTTCCGTTAAAAAAGCCAGAATTGTTGGGGAATACTGGCTCGCTGCTAATGATAGTGACGTGGCCACTCACTCTTTCCACGTCACTTCCAAACAACTTCACCATTTGGTAACAGAGACCAAAACCTCGTATTTTGAGATTCTTTCAGCTTTGGTATGGAAATGTATTTCACACATCAGGGAAGACTTTGGACCAAAGGTTGTGACAATTTGTACAAGTAGCTCTAATCGTGCAGAAAATGAATTCCCCACCAATGGTTTGGTGTTAAGCAAAGTTGAAGCAGATTTGACAGCTGGGGAATCTGATATATCGGAATTAGCAAAACTGATTGCTGAGAAAAAGATGGTTGAGAATGAGAACCATGTCATGGAAAAGCTGGCGGAAGAAGATGAAGGGAAAGGGGATTTTATAGTTTATGGATCAAACTTGACATTTGTTGATTTGGAAGCTGCTGATTTTTATGGGGTAAAGCTGAATGGAAAGAAACCAATTATGGCGAATTGTACCTTCCGTGGGGTGGGTGATCAAGGGGTTGTTTTGGTTCTTCCAGCGCCGAGAGACAATGAAGATGGTGGTAATGGAAGGATTATAACTGTTTCTCTGCCTGAGAAAGAACTAGACCAGCTGAAAGACAAGCTGGATGGAGAATGGGGTATACACTGTTTGCATCCTTGATTTTGAATTCCCATAGCACAAAGAGGTCAAATTGTGTGGATTGTTTTTCATCTTTTGCCTATACCTGTTTGATATATCTGCAGGCAATTAAATAAGGGTTAGTTATCCAGTTATTGTAATATGGTGATGATTTATAATTGTCTTTTATAAGAGTTATGTCGTAGAAAAAATGATTGTGTTATGTCATAGAAATTCGTTTTGTGTGCCGAAGTTTTTTTTTTTTGCTGCGGGTCCAATAAAATATTGTGTGTGTAGGAAACTTTTGTGGTCATGTTAAATAATAGATGATAAACCCTTTAGAATTCAGTAAAAAAAGAACAGTTAGAAAGTTTCAATTGTGTAAAGCTTCGAAATATCACTGTATAATTTTTTTTCTTGTGAATGCGAATAGTATAAGTTTATATTATATGGCATTTGATAGAATGAAGTTTTATAGTTCGCTTATTTTTATCTTTAAGTGGTTTGATAAAATATGATAGGATAATTTTGTATTATATTAGAAAAAAATATAATACTTAATTTTAAATCAATCTTATCTCCCCTCTTCATTTTTTCATATGTAAATATCATCTCACCTCAGAGAATATCTTTAGTGTTACGAATGCACCGACTTTTCGATGCATCTTCTACTTATAATGTGACATGTGTTTTATTTTTGTCAAATCATTAATAAAATTTATTTTAAAATCAGCTAAGAGAATAATTTGATGAAAAGTAAGATACGTGACAAATTATGAGTGGAAGATGCGCTGAAAATTCGATGCATCCGTAGCACTAAAAAAAATTTCCTCACCTGATCAGTTTCAGCCACCTTAAGTTTTTGTATTGAAATGGTTAATTATAAAACTTTTCTACCCCCTCCTCAAAAATTTCTTGTTGATATCCATTCATAAACCGCAATTTTGCTTTAGCAACGTCTTTGAATCTCATTCCGAGTAAATTATCTTTCATGCTCCTGCTAATCATAACGGTTTACATGCTTTTCTGTAATAAAATTGGCAAATACGTGCTCGGGATTGAAAAAAGTCTATATTATATCAATTATTTAGATTATTAATCTCGACAATTATCATTGCAAAAATATTTTTTGAGAGTTTTTTTTAATATATAATAGTATTTTTGTCCATAAATTTTTTTATTCTATGCGAACTTACAGGGCTATACAAACAACATTAGATGAGATAAAATTATACAATCATATTTGACGCGATGTTGATTAATATAGAAATTTATACAATGTATAACTTTAATACTATCTTAATTAGCAAATATTATTAAGCATTGTTTCGTGTCATGTATCAACTGCGCGTTTGGATAGGAAAAAAAACCCTTTTAAAGAATTTTATATGTTTGAATTGCAACTTTTAGAAAAAATTTAAATTCTTTACTTTTGGGTTCAAGTTTTTATGAATATAAAATATTTATTTTAGGAGAGATAGTCTCTTCATGACGTGGATATTTTCGACTCGAACAAGTTTGTCTAGTTTATAAAAAATAAAAAATAAATATTTTATAAAATTTTCAATTTTATTCCAATCCTACTCCATCCTACTACCATCACTATCATCCCATATTCAGTAATTTTATATATAAAAAGTGTTTGTAATTTTAATATCCAAATAATATTTTTATTTAAATGTGTTTTTTATGTTGTTCAATGTTCATCCAAACATAAAGTAATTTTAATTTTTAAAAAACTCATTCTAAAAACTGCAAGTAATAAAAAGTTTTTTTTTTTTTTGAAGTCTATCTAAACGGACCGTAAATATGGTTCAATATCATTAACACACGGGTTGAGGCCCTAGAACCTAGTCGCCTCAGTGATTGACAAGATGTATGTTTGATTCTTAGGTAAATTTTAAGGGCGTTTTGGTAGAAAATTTTTATTTATTTATTTATCTGGAAACAATAGATTATTAGAATATAATAGGAAATATATTTTGCTGGAATGTTACTAAAAAATTATTTAGTATGACCAAATTTTCTCGAATTTTTGTGATTTATTTTACTGAGTGTGTGTTTGATTAATTGTGAAATATTAATGAGAATGTGAGATTATTTTACGAAAATAACTCATCTTTATTTTTTAATACAATAGATTACAGATAGTACACCAAAAAGTAAGGTTATTATCGTCCATAATATTTTGGTCATTTTTTTTACTTCATGCGCAAACCAATAAACCAACTAATCGATAGAGATTTACATTTTTTCCATATCACTTTTTACACATGAACTGCAAAAAATAGAAAACATTGTTCCCAAAAAAGTGTACTATTTCTGTTACCAAACACAGGCTTCCAATTTTCCATAGCCAGCTTTCTAAGAACCCAAAAAGAATCTGGATATCAAACACCCCGTAAAGGACGATGGTATTTTGCTCTGGGCTTAAACAGAGCTGAGATCTCAAAGTGCGTCTGAGTTATCTATGACCCATGTTTGACCACCTCAATTCCTTTTAATAAAAAAAGCACCCTTTCACCAAAAAAAAAAAAAAAAAAAAAAGCACCTAAAAAAATCATGTGATATATTAATTATAAAATTCATACTGGCAATAGATTAACTTCTAATTGTTGAAGATTCGTAACTCAGTTAATACAAAAATTAAGTCCATAGAAACCAACAAAGATAGCTTGTTCTTTAAGCATGATGATAGTGGGATCCGTGTACAAAAAATGTTTTTTTATAGAGATTTATCCACTTAATGTATGTGTTACTTCGAAAGGATTAGTCTTTGAGAATCGACGAAAGATATATTGAAAACAAAAATAAAAAATAAAATAAAAATTAAGTGCATAGAAAGTTACAAACCTTTGAATTATTAATGAAATTATGAGCTAATTTGTGACCTCAGTGCGTAGAAACAGAAGATCTGTGCTTCTTATATTAATTATTTGACTTTTGGTGAGCAAGAAACGAGAAAAATTAATTTAAAGGTATTAAAAATGTATTATTCCTGTATTACTGCGTCACGTGCAGAACGTTCGCCAAAGAAAAAAAATAATGAGCGGAACTTGTGTTTTTTTAAGTATATCTAGGCAATGGAAAGGAATATGCTACAAAATGCAACGGCTTATAAATGATCTAACTTCTTATTGGCCATTATTTTAAAAAGAACAAAATTCTGTATTTTAAAAACTAAGTAAAATTGGACATATTTCAACTGAAAAGGTAATGAAATCAATTTTTTTTAGTGCATAGTGAAATTAATTTTAATGTATTGTTAATATAAAAAGTCATTATTATTTTAAAATGTATTAAGAGATCATCTGATAGGAATGATATATCAAGTAAGTCTTAACCTTATCAAAATTATTAAAGATAAGACAAGTTATTGAACGACCATGTTAAATTATTATTTTTTTACTGTATATTTTGAATAATTTCTTAAAAGGATTATACAACATTATTCTTTTTAATAAATATCTATATTATCATAATTTTATAATAGTTCTTCTATTCGTTTACATAAAATATTTAGTTATTTTAATTTTTTAAAATAGTATATACTTAAGCTTTTTTATTTAATATTATTTTTTAAATAACCAAATAGTACATAAATTAAGAAGATATACTATTATTTTCTTTTAGCAAAATATTTTGCAAGCTACTTTTTTTTAAAAACTTTTTCTTATACTTGCTCTTGCAGGGAAACATGTATTGAGAATTACGTTTTTATTGTTCTATTAAATTAAAAGAGAATAACGTCAGTAATATTTTAAATATTAAACTTAATTGATTGTTTGAATCAGTTTTTTTTTTTTTTAGTACAAGTTTGAATCAGTTCAACTGTGAATATATTATGCTTTTAATCTGACATTTATAAACCAATCCAGTTCAAACTCTTGTAAGTACAAGTTTTAGTTTAATTTTTAAAACGTTAAATATAAGAACAATATAATATAAGTTTTAGTTTAATGGTTAAGATTTAGAAACAAGAGATAGTAAAAAAAAGAGGTAGTAATTATAGTCTTTTATGGACGATATAATAGAAAATAATACACAATTTTTTTTTTGATAACTTAAAACACAAAAAATTATTTATATATTTATTTTCACGTAGAAAAAGTAGTAGTTGTTGTTGTCCATGTTTTTTATTTTATTTTTCGTGAGATGAGTTGAAGAGGCACAAACAAGGGAAAAATAAACGAACGCAAAGACAAATTGTCAACGCCGAGTGGCCTCCTCTGCTGTGCTGCGTTATCTCTCCAATTGCAACCTGCAAAATCTCAAACTCCAAAACGACATATCGTGATATCAAATCGAAAGTGGCCCAAAATTTCTGGTCTATCTCTCGTTGGGTCCTCCACTACTTCCTTCCTTCTCTCTCTCTCTCTCTCTCTCACGCGCTTGAGCTAAGTGCTACAGATTAGGGGAGCAGAGAGCAAATCGACCACACCGCCAAACACACCTTATTCTGAATTTGAATTGATTTGACTGAGTTGACTCGATGTCTTCCAATTCCGATTTGGTGCGCACCATTGAATCGGTTCTGGGCGTTTCACTTGGCGATTCCGTTTCCGATTCGTTGGTTCTGATCGTGACGACATCCGCAGCCATCATAATTGGGCTTTTGGTGTTCTTGTGGAAGAAATCAACGGATCGGAGCAAGGAGTTGAAGCCGGTGATAGTGCCTAAGTTGTTGGTGGACGATGAAGACGATGATGTTGACGTTGACTCCGGCAAAACTAAGGTTACTGTTTTTTACGGTACTCAGACTGGTACTGCTGAGGGCTTTGCTAAGGTATATTTCGTTTTCCATGTTTCGCGCATCCTTGTTTTCCGCTTGTTTCTTTTCTCTGTGTTGATAATATGTTGGAGGATTGTTTCTAGGTATGGTCGAATCGAATGCGCTGGATTTTAAAATAAATAAAAAATAAATTTATTCTTCTAAAAGAGAGAATATTGTTCTTTGGGTTCTTTAACGTAGTTATAGCTTATAGTTTGTTTATTTATCGTTGCTTTATTATGATTGTCTGATTATTCTTATTCTAATTTTTTTTTGAGAATATACTTTTCTGTATGTCTAAAATGTTTGCCAAATAATAACATTACAGTTTTTCGTGACTGTGAAATTGAATTTGCTGAAGGAAGAAGATATCATAGTTTTAACCCTGGGCCATAGTGATGTTTATGGTGAAACTATTACTTTTTGACAGCTCTTTAATGTCAAGCAACCCTGTGCTTTTGTATAATGTCTTCATTTTGTTATATTAGGGCTTTTTGGAAACACCCAGGAGTGAGGATGTTGTTGATGACAATTTGAAAATAATTCCTTTTAGTCAAAGGCGCCAAAAAGTAATGCTAAAGGTGCTGAGGTTAGGTGCCTGAAGGGGTCAGTGCCTCTTGCTGGTTGAGACACTGC